TTTAAATAAAGTGCTTCAGTTTGTCTCTTTTATTTTACCTGTACTTTCTCACTCACTCACTCACTTTTGTTTCTTCTTTTAATTCAATTTTAGCGGTAGTTGAATTTGTTCAATGATAATTTTATCGAGTGTAACATCTTGTCGTATTTGTAAAAACGAGAGAAAGTGAGGAACTTTATTTTTTACAATTTTATCGAATAAGAATAAGTTCCTTTTGAGACAGCTAAAAGCACAGTTTAAAAATGAAGAATGATTCTTAAGTTGGCCTTCTTTCTTGAACTTGCAATATTTGTTTTCACTTCTTCACTTTCTCTCTTTTTCTTCTTCCGAAACACAACAAACTTTGTTAAGAATTTAAATTAGATATCATCAGCAGGCTAGTTTGCTCTGTCTTCAACGATTCACAGGAGGCAAATTAGGCCAGAAATACGCTGCTGACTAGAAAATGACCAAAACGCCCCTCAACGGAGTCAATGTGATTTTCACTCCCTGCGGCATTTTTTCATTTCCAACATGACTAGTAACTATATTGGTTATCTCGTATTACATATTCCATTGCACAATAAGCAATTTTCATTGTGTCCTTATAAACTTTGCACTTTTTTTTACCCTGTCACAGTATGCGAAGTTTTCGTTAGAAAACATTCTTTATTTTTTTATTTTTTTCAAAATAATATTCAGTTTGCTTCATGTGTTCTTATAAAATGAATCATGTATTTTTGATAATTAGAATCTATTCACTTTGAAAATAAATTTTTAAATTTAGTAAAATACAAGTCAACGATTTCATTTAATTTCAATTGTCCTCACTCTTAAAGTCAGATTTGTATCTTACTTTCGTTCCTAGCTTTGATGTGTTTTGAAGAAGATATTTAATAGGAAAGAAGTATTAGGATGTTGAGAACAATTTCGTTTTAGAGAAACAGAGCTATTTATTCAATTACATTATAAAGTGATTGATTAAATATGGGCCACAAGAGGTTGCATATTTCATTTTCTTAAGCTTATCATGACTGCCAATAGATGCAATCATTTCAGCTTATTGTTTAAGATGAAACAGTGGACGTAAGAACTCAGAATGAAAGCTTGTTGCGGATTTATTTCAAAATTCATTGTGCTCTGTTAAGTGATGCATTCTTCTATTTATTGCTTATAGAAGTAAGGGATTTGCTTAAAATTACTTTGAATGAATGGAAAATTGAATACGTATACATGTTTATAGGTGACTTGCTTATTGCTTTATTTATTTATCTGTTTATTTTTGAGAAAATAAAGATACGAGCGAAATGAACAAAGATCAGTAATCAATAGCAGCTGTTTTGTTTAATCAAAAGCGTAAACATTTTGTATTATCTGTTACAAGCTGTTGATAATGCTATAATTTTCTTCTATGTTTAGTAATTGAAAAAAAAAGATTGAATAATAATTCAATTTAAAAAAATTGAATAGTGCAATTCATTTACTGCAAAATTTTTGATAAGAATTTTTTGAATCACTTCAAATGCTATCCATAACGCATCTCACATTTTGCAAACATATCCTTCTCTTTTTCAGCAGTGAACTGCTGCTAAAAATTATCACTGGTGAAAATATGCTTCTCTTTTTTCAATTACGTGTTAATATTTCACGACATTTTCTTCTGTTATCAGTATAGAAAGTATTATAATAGTAAGAATTGAAATGGAATGACACAAAAAGTAGTCACGTAATCATTACTTTTTTCTGATACCTTAACAATTTCATATCTATTTAAAATCACCAGCATTATTTGTTTGGCTTAAGCTTCCTAACTTGAAGTTATTCAATTATTTTCATTTTTATTTTTCTGTGTTGTTTAATAACAGTAGATAGTTGCTGTTATGAGTTAACAAGAAGTGTACAAGATAGGAAACAAAACTATCTTGTTTACTATGTTTGTATCGATTTTTTAAGTGGTTTATTTATTGCGCTGATGTTAAGCGGTCTGTCATTTATGCATCATGAAAACAGCTGTCTGGGATAGATCTCACCAGTACGAGATGGATACGCTGTGTGAAGTGGTTTTGTCAGGATGCTTTCCTACTGCTGAATTACGGCTGCAAAAGGTTAATTACTAGATAAAGGAATGGTTTAAAGCGAGAATCTGAAGCAAATATGCAGGAATATAATGTTGTTGCTATTTTGTTATTAAAACGAGGAAATCATTTATTCATTACAGTATCATCAAGAATGCTTTATAATTAAATTTGTAATTCATGGCAAATACTGTTATTTGCAAAACATGAGTAATAAAGATAATTTCAGATGGTTTGATCTGATCATTATATTAGGTATACCTATCTCAAATTCAGTTGCTGCACTAATTTCTATTAAACCTGTTATGTTGATACCGTTGGGCAATCAATTTTGAAACGGTACTCAATATCTTTTTCTACGTTCTTTCTAATAGCTATGCAACATATGACAATTAATAATGCCAACCATTTTTATCGGCACTATGTAACCAATTACGAATTTGTCTGGAAGAAAAAGCGGATTTTGCTGGAATAAAATAAAAATGAAATATATGGTATTCAGTGCAATTCTCCCTAATACTATCGTTCATTTAGTTCAAAAGAATAAATATAGGAAACCCTCTAAAATTTGTTTGTGCTCTTTTTCAATTTCTCGAGAATAAGGATTAAAACAGGTTTCTCCTAATGCCTTCAAATAGTTTCTATAACTTTGACCAAGCTTTTCTTTATTGCTTGCCTTACCAGTTTTGAGAGTTTGACGTGACAAAACAAATACCTGTAACGCGTATTGCAACTTCGAGAAACTTTTCAATTGTCTGTGATATCAGTGGTGATGGATTTCATGCATTTAGATTTATACAACGAATTATTGTTGTGAAGTTTCTCTTGCCTCATTCGTTATTATTGCTCATTGAAATTTACAAAACAATTATGATTTTTAGTGGAGTGAAATTTTATTGTTAGTAGCTTAATAAAAGCCTATGGTGAAAAATTTTTTCTACCACTAAAGGCTATATTTTAAATTGATTACTTTTTTGATGAATGTTTAGTAGTGGAAGGAAATATTTGATAACTTTTCAAGATTAATATAGCATTAGCTAAAGTGATCCTTTGAATAGCAGATAGCATTATGCTGATTCTCTAAAAATGATTCCATTGTGATAATTCCAATTCGTTTGCGTCTTCTTCCTTTCATTCTCCCTTTTCATCATTATTTGCATAATATTTCAGAGCTCCTGAATAAAATGCTCTTTATCATTTTTGCTTGAATTGTAAGGTTGGGCTTTATTTGGTCCTTCAATTTCTGTGCAATCAAATATTCATCGAAGTTCTTTCTTTTGCCTTTCGAAGATTAGTTCCTTCTAAAATTGCAGGGAGTTTGATGTGATGTTTTTGAGTTGAGCAAGTTTTTTGGCATTTTATTAAACAGTTCGTTTCATATATTTTTGCAAATATAAGAAAAAGAACAAACGATGACTTGAATTTTTTCTCACAAACCTGACTGACATTGTTTCACTGGTAGCAGAGTATAAATAAATTACTTTAGTGACTTTTCGCAGTATTTTTGCTAGCAGTTATCCTTTTTGGTTATTCGGAACCGCATACAATGAATCACTAAAGAATTGGAGCTAAACCCTGTCATTCCAGGCAGGTGTTTATGCAGTTTTTTATCTAAACAAGAGCATTATTTTTAATAAATTCTTGACTATAAATTTGATATTTGGTTCTGCTAACTGCCTCCAATTTTTGGTGGCATTCAGTGTTTATGTTATTTGTAAAGATATTCCTGTGTTATTCAACGATGTTGCTAATTATATATTGAAATATAGTTTTTAATGTACAGATCATGTTTTTGATTCGTAGATTCAATTCAGTTACAAATCTGCTGTCTTAAAATACTGATATAGATCAAAACTGAATTCTTTGCGAAGTACTCTGCGATAACTGATTTGGCATGAAGTTTGAAAGTGATAAAGTTGTGATGTATAGGGTATATATATATATATATATAATAATTTCATCATTACTGAAGTTATTCTGTTGCAAACTAAAAAATGTGATTGGGTTAGAGGTTTGCTCAGAGGAGAAGTTGTGCAGAGAAAGAAACGTTAGCTGGTAGCCCGGATTGATCATGTATTAAAGGCATAGTGAAGAATTCCCAAGAGAGTTTTTTTTAGTTTCCATATCGTTAATGATGCTTTGCTGTCCGCTCTGCTACCTTCATTTACTTCACATTAGTGTTGCAATGAAAACTGAAAAAGATATCGTCATCATAAATAAGTTATAATTACTTATATCGGAATCCTTTTTATAACTAGAATTTTAACCACAGTATATGCTTACAGTTATGTTCAACCACACTAAAGATACCGTCACGCTTTGCATTGAAATGTGACATGATTTATTCGTCTTTCCATGTACCCTTTGTAATTCTTTCTGACATGGCATTTCCCTTTCTTATTGTGACATCTGGTCGTTTTCTGTGATCACACATACACTCTTCTAAAGATTTTGGTATCAAGATTGAAAATCTGTCATTCGGACTAGGTACCAAAGACACTTTTATAATTAGTATTTCAAAAGTATTTCAAAAAAATTACCAGTATTTCAAAAAATTACTAGAAAACAGAGTGCACTTCTATCAGATTCTAATGAAAAGAAATATACTAGTGCAAATAGTGAAATATTAGCTTACAGCACCAGTTATTTCTAAAGAGATTTTAATTAACCACATCTGAAAGCTATGATGAGAGAGATCATCTGGGATTGATAACAATCCCAGATGATCTCTCTCATCATAGCTTTTGTGAAATAATGTTTAAACTTGTTTCCAATGTTTGAAATTACAATCATGGCTAGAATATGTTCCCTATGGGTTTGCAGCATGAAGTGCGAAAATTTTGTTGCAGATCTATAGAATGGTGCGACTGCTTGGGTATACGAATTGAAGTTAAGAATTTGATAATTCTAACCATTCGAAACATTATTATTTGATAGAATTTAGTTAACATCTTTCTAACGGCAATCGTTGGTGAAGTTCGTATTTTTGGTATTTGTTTTCGTGTCTTTGTTATTCCACCCTTATTAGGCACTATGCCTGTCAAAGCGAATGGAACTTCTGAACGCACATTTGTTAACTTCGATCCCGAAGATCCAGATTATATCAAAGAGTTGCAAAGACCAGCAGCCATTAAGGTTAAATGTTTCATTGGTTTTTCATCTTTTTTTTTTCAAATCATAATTTGGCAAGATCTCTCTCCAAAATTTCTTACAATATGCTTTCAAAACATTACATCACATATTCTTTCTTAAATTTCAGTGCTACGAAATGTTTAGATTTAATTTGATGCTTTTGGTGTACATTTCTTATTATTGTATCTTAGGAAGATTTGTCTGAAATGGAAAGGCGAAAACGAGTGCAAGAAGTATTGGAATCAAAAAGTTTTTGCAAAGAACTCGAAGAATTGATCAAGCAAGAGAGTGAAAGCCATAAAAGTGACCCCGATCACTTGAAAACGTTACAGCGACTTTCAGAACTCACCCTTCCTCATGGCCAGATTGCAGCATCTAGCCTTCATAGCATAGGTAATTGCTACTGTTTCGGCTGTACAAAACAAGAAGCGAGTACACTCTATTACATTTATTTTCAAGTGACTGCAAAACAGCCCATTTTTGTTGCATCTTTTTACAAACAGCATTATAAGTATTATTGCTTCTCCATCCTGATTAATTTTCTAGGTGTTGGAGCTGTGATACCGATTGCCGATCTGAAAAAAAATGATAGTTACACGCGGGTCGAAAAGATGTTCAGGAATAAATTAGCCTCTTTGTATCGTTTAGTGGATCTATTTCAGTGGTCACAGGGTATTTACAATCATATCACAGTAAAAATTCACTCATAATTACACTTCAAATGCAAAAGCATCAGATGATTTAGTCATTATTGTTGTGGTGAATAAAAATTATTAAGTTGAGAAGTTGATTATTTTGATTTGTAAAGTCCTCGTATTTGTACGGCTTAATTTTATGATAAAGTGTTGCGATACATTGTAGTTATAGGCGAGATACTGCTTGCATCTTTATGTTGACAAAATTTCGTAATTGAAAATAGTTCAAAAAGGTGATTATCAAAATGTTGAGTTTCAGTTGAAGTTGCCAGATTCTGGTGATATACTTATTAATCCTTTTGGATTGTTGTATCACGAAATTACTGCCAGTTCATTAATTAAAATCAATGTTGATGGCAAAATCATTGACAATGGCTCAACCAAATTAGGAATTAACCAAGTGAATGCTCTGATTTAATTTTTAAAAATACACCAACATTTTAAATATTAATATTCCTATTGACCTTGTTATTTAGTTATTAATTTTTAATAGCCGATATTAATTTTAAAATTTTCAGGCTGGTTATATTTTACACGCTGCAATTTATAAAGCTCGTCCTGATGTTCGTTGTGTGTTACATTTACATACTGCAGTAGTTTCGGCAGTATCATCAATGAAGTGTGGTCTTTTAGCACTTTGTCAAGAAGCAATGGTTATCGGCCCTGTAGGTTATCACAATTATCAGGTATTCTCTTGCTTTTCAACTTTCTTAAGATCACGATGTTGCAATCAAACTCAACCTCAGCAGGAGTTTTTTCTATTTCATTCGAAAACTGTTGACAAAATATAAATTACTTTATGAGCATCATCTATTTCTGGGAAACGTTATTTGAGCCATTTCAATCGAACCACCGCTACTGATGTTGTCTTGATATTATTTCACTTTTTTATCACCGGAATATTTGTAGGGTATATTAGATGATGAGTGCGAAATGGATTCAATTGTCAATGATCTTGGCGATAAAAATGTGAGTTTTGTTTTAACATATTTTTTTTCATTCTCTTAAGTACTGACGCTAAAGTTTTTTGCAGTGGTATTGTCTTGTAGAGATTGATATTATTTTCTTAAGATCTACTTCTGGTCAAGTTTCTGTGTAAGACTTACATTTTCAGAATGTGTGTATTTTAAACATTTCAGGGTAAAAAAATTTGTTTTTCTCCATTACACTAATTCTTTATAACTCGTACTTATACAATGATAATCAGATGAAGCATTATAGTTTTTTTAATCTTTTAAGAGCAGTGGAAAAATTGATTATTTGTTTAAAATAAAAGGTCTTTTAAGCTTGTAGCTTTATATGCGCATGATTTTTATTTCTTCAACTTATTTTCAGGTGTTTATCGTCCTTTTCAGTTTTTGTTTTAAGTGTGGTGCTTGCTAATTTATGCATGAAATGTTCAGTGAGAAGTTCTAGGTAATGGTATTACGAAGTCATGGGTTTGTAGCCTGTGGAGAATCAGTTGAAGAAGTTCTTCATCTTGCTTTCAACATGATCATCGCTTGTGAGATTCAGGCATGCTTGCATTTTTATAAAAGTGGTGGTAAAAATAAATGCATCGGAATTTTTTCACGGTCATTAAAGTTTTCTCTGAAAGTGTTATATTTTTCGTACTTTATGAATGATTAAAAAAATTTTATTTTGGAAAAATTAAATAGCATTTTTTTTATTTTACATTTTTTCAAAATTGTTAGTGTGCAGACCACACAGTTGGACTTATTCACTTTTAAAATACATTGAAAACATTGGTCGTGATGCGAAAATGCATGTTATATTTGTGCTATTAGCTTTTGTACATTTATTATCGCATTACGCTTTTTTGCTGTGAATGTTTTGTTTTGCTGCTAACTTATTTTTTGGAAATCTTGCGAAACCGAACTGAAAATTTTTCGATCTTGATTGTTTTTTATTGGTTATTGAATTGCTAAAATTTTAAAAAATTTTTCTTTTCATTTGAACTTTCATTGTATTACTTCTTGTTGGTATTATTAATCCTCTTCAGATCAGCGTACTCAAGTTCATGTTGATTTGGTAGTGCATGTTTTTGTGTTAGATTGAAATCTTGAATGTGCGGTTCATCTAAAAATAAGGCACTATTTAAAAATTACTGACTAGGCTGTATAATGAAGTTTTAAGTTATGAATTTGACGACATTATTTGTAATACGTCGTTAAAATTTAAATTATTAGTATGATCTTTGCTGAAATTAGTGGTTGATTCTATTATTATTGCTGACTACAAAAATGTTTGTTCATGTCAAAGTATGCGGTTTAGGTTCTTGTTTTACGCACAAACGGGTATTTGGTATGTTGCGAAACAGTGGAAGAAGCAGTTTATATTATAAGGAACTTGGTTGCAGCTTGCGACCACCAGGTTTAAATAATTTTTCGACATGTTTTGTGTGTTAACTTTGGTAATACAAAAAACCATGCGATCATTTCTGAATTTTAGAAATTACGACCTGTTAAGTGGTATATTTTTTACAGTCTTTCTCGACATTTTTGTTTTTGCAAAGTTTCTGAGTTAATTCTGGAGTAGTTTCATATCGTTCGTTTATATCATAAAGTCTCTCGATTATGTGCATTATTTATTCGCAATTTTTTTCAATGTTTTTTCATTTTACTCACTTTGTAAAATATAGTGCAAATTGGTATCTGTCATTTATGATGATCTTATCAAGTCCTGTGTGGTTTGCATACATTCTACAATAATTTAGACAATTAAAAATATGGCTTTTGAAGTTGTATTTTAGGTTAGGGCTGCAAGAGCTGGTATTGAGAATTTGGTGGTACCTGACCAAAAAGCTGTTGAAAGAGCATATAAAACAGCTAGAAAAGGAGGTAGATTTTTATAAATTTCGTCTTTTTCATATTTTTCATAAGTTGAATTTGCTTTTTTTTAGGAGGTGGTGTTGATCGAAGTGGTACACAGGACATAGAAGAAAAACAAATCAATTGGAGAATTGGTGAACTAGAGTGGGAGGCATGGATGCGTGTACTTGATAATGCGGTATATTTGTAGATTTCGTTTTACTGCTGATTTCAGCAGTTATAAACTGTTTAGATCTGAATGCTCTATTTTGTTTTTAGGGTTATCGCACTGGGCATATTTACCGGCAACCCCTTCTACGTTCAAAAATGCTTCCTGGAGCATCCAATAATCGAAGTGATATTGCTGTTCCTCCTAGTGCATCCTCAACTGGCACTGTAAGGGATTTGAGCAATAGTCATTTGATAATTGCGAATTATATTCTTACTTTTATTTTCTATCAAGTTCATTGCATAGGACTTATGAATTTTTTTGTGCCTGTTTAAATTTTGATATGAATCTCTATGTCACTTTATTGCTTTTTAGCAGTTACAGTTTCGACAGGTTATATAAATTATTTATAATTTCTTGATTCTTAAGGGTCACAATTCATGAATGTCCTTGAGCTGTTATATTTTAGTTAGTTGCTTCAATATTTTAAGGTGGATGAATCAGATTATGAATCAGTAACAGCGCATAAAATGGCTTTGTTGCGTAAGGAACAGGAACGGTCTCGATGGTTAAATTCACCAAATGCTTATCAAAAAATTGAGATATTAGAAACAGGGACTGATAATCCTAAGCGTATCACCAAGGTATGATATATTTGTGTTCCGATTTCAATCTTTATCCATTAGTGTGAATGGATTATTTCTATTTTACCTATGCAACAATGAGGTATTTAATATGCTTTAGTGGGTGCAAGATGTTGGTTCAGTATCTCAAAGTGGTACTCCAGTGAAGATTTCGTCACCTCATCAATTTAGTCCTTTTTCTGCGAATCCGAAAGAATTTAAAGAAAAACAAAAAGCTATTAAAGAGAATCGACGACTAGGTACTACTTCGGCTGGTCCGCAATCGCAGATTTTGGAAGGTGTTACATACGAAGAAATTTCTCAAATACGAGCGGTATATCTTTCAAATCATTATTTTTGGAAGGTAGCATGCCCATGTTTATTCTGTCATAGTGGAATGTTGAAATAAGATTTCATGTGCTCTAAAAACGGTTTGTCATATATTGATTGCCGTATTGTTCAGGATTCAGAAACGGGTGATATGAATCAGGCTGATCGTTTAGTTATTATTGGTACAGCCAGTAAAGGTATCATCGATCGGCAACATCAGCACAATGCTCAGGTATGCTTTCACTTTTAACTTTTCTCATTATATTATTATGTTACAAGTAATATGTTCAGATTGGTAAAATGTCCTAAAAACTGTTAAAAAATAAATGTGTATTGAGATTATGTAATTTTGTTTATTAAAAGAGTGATTTCTTGTTGTAAATTTCAAATAGCCATGTATATTTTATTTTCATTTTGTTTTTGTAAGATGTTTCAGACTCAGAATATCTTGATATTTGATGTTTCAAGATTATGTAATTTCACGCATTGATTGCAGGTGTATCGCCAGCTTTATGCACCAAATCCATTTGCAAGTGAAACAGATGAAGATATTCAAAAGTACATGAAAGAAGTGGAGGCAAAAACTCCAAGGTCAAATTCTACGGTTGATAGTGTTGAACATTCCGCATCTAGTCCACCCTTGTATGAGAACGACAGCCCTTCTGTTGGTGTGTTCGAATTAATTATCTTTTTTGTCATTTCTTAATGCTGTATTAAGAAAGAGTTAACCTTTCTAATAAATTACAGTCTGTTTTTTTTATCACTTACTTTATTCTTCATTTTGAAGTTTTCTGTTGGTGTGTTTTAAATCTCTATTATTATTTTTTGCCAACACTTACATTAATTATAAAATCTGAGCCACTTTTATCTTGGTTTCAGAAACAATATCTTTGATGCAAGCAGCTCGAGAGCACCGTACACATCTTACAGTTAGTGGAATGGCATCGGCATCAATTGATGAAGAAGGAGCAGATGTTGAATTGCATAGTGGTGCTCATTCACCACCCCTAACGCAGACAGCTTCTGGTACAGGTTAGTGGCTTTCAAAAAAACTAAATTATGCATGTTTTTGAATATCATTCTTTGAACGCATGACTGCTTTCGTAGTTGCTTTTCTTCGATGAAGGTGCCGTGTAGGTGTTACCTTCGTGATTTTCAGACTTCATTGTGATCTTTTATTTTTTTTAATTTTATTCATATTGATTTAAGTGTGAAAAGTGTTTTTGTTCAGTACTGAAAATGACGAAGCTTAAAAACTTTTTTCAGTTTATTGACTCCATGATTTTCCAGTTTGCTCTTAGCTTAATGCGATATTAATATTCGAATCAACTGATGAGCATTAGAATTTTAGCATTTTCCCAAAGAACTCCGATAAACGTGCTATCATGAAAAGTTCCAAGTAGTTTTCAATGTAGTGTTATTTGGTGATTTCACTGAGATTGCAGTTGGTCGTCTAACATTGGAAACCACCTTCGATGAGTCTGATTCACCACAAAGTCGTTTTGTACGCAGTTCACCCTTTGTATCATCAGCGCCATCTAATCGTCAGTGCTTGTTTTTATTTTTCGCGATTTTCAAAATTTCCGTCCTTGTATTTTTGGATAAGAAACTCCTTAATCATAATAAATGACCATAGCAGTCGCAATAATGACAAATGTAATTATAAATATAATTTCTGAATGTTACTAGAAAGTTAAAAGGCAAATTTAAGGCATAATTCTGAATAATAATTGAAGTAGTATATGAAGGGGAAGTGCCGTTTTGCGGAAGTAAATTGTTCAACATATTCTATACTTGTGCGTATATGTCTCTGCATGCAGTTTGCACCCTTGTTTTGCATGCTTTTCCACGAACAGAAATTTTGATAAATCTGTCTCAACAAAAGGAATTGGTCAGCGATAAAAATTTTTAATTCTGCCTGAGTAAGAAGACTATGCTTCATTCGACATTGCTTATGGATGTTGTTAGTTTGGTGATCGCATGGTTTCTATTGATTATTTTGGGTCGCTTATCGCACGATTACTCTTATGGAAATGAAGCCACTCATCTGGAGCGACCAAAAACTTTACCATCGGAAGCAAAATTCACACGTAGTAAATCAGATCGTTTTACATCATTGCGTAAAAGTCTCTTTTATAAAAGTATGTTTTAAAATCATGTGTCCATTTTCTGATGATTTATGGAACACAGTTTCTTCTTATTTGTAATTATAGTTTGAATGAAAATAAGGTTCATTAATTTTTATTTCAACCTGTGCCAGTAATCTTCTAAAAGTAAACACAAATGCATGTTCTGAAATTTATTCCACCTTAACCTAAATATACAGTGATTATCTTCAGTCCCATGTAATTTACATAGCACTTCTGCACAAATCTGTCTGCTGTAAATTTTATTGGGCTTTCAGGAAATGATACTACAGCACGAAGTTCAGAGCTGGCATTATCTGATGACGAGGTGAGGTATTGTATTTGTAGAGTTCAATATGAACTACGCTGGAGAAGTACATTAAGCAGATTATGTTATGACTGTTAAATGACATTGTGTCTAGGAGGATTTATGGAATCAAGACAATATCGGTGTTATAATATCTGATAACATGATTAAGATTTTAAGAATGCATTTTGCGATTGATAATAACAAAAATAAATTGTGATGTGTTGTATAAATTGATTGATAAGTTTTACAGCTGAATCAGTCGAGAGAAAGTAAGAAGAAGAAAAGGGGTTTATTCTCGTTTGGGAGGAAAAAGAAGTGACTTTTAGTAATGTTCCTGGATCAGCGTTTCGTCTTTTTTCTGGTATTGTTATTGTTGATTGCTTTCTCGTCTGTAATAAAGCAAAACCATATTGGTGTTGGTTTTATTTTCTCTTGACACTCATTTTACTCAAACAGTTTAACACTCTTTTAATTTTTCTTTTCAATATCTTTCCTTTATTTTTTTTCCGTGAAACGGTGCATTTCTTAAGAATTAACTTTAATTGGAATTTCGCGTGTACTTCACTGTAATTTATGTTTAAGTCATTAATATTAGCCAGCTGCAAATTTCATATAACTCGTGAATGACAATCTAATTATAACGGTTCATCTTGTGGAAACTTTGATTTGTTTTTAAAACTGTATTATTTTATCCATTACAAAGAGATTACAGCGATTGTTTTAACTTATTTCTGATAGGAGGGATAATTTGATCTTACAATGTGTTTATTTTCAGAGTGTTGCCATTGCACATCGCGGTCTACAGAAGTTTGATTCTCGTCTTGAGCATTCTATTTCTGGTGAAATCGTAGATATGTTATCAATTTATAGCGTTTCAAGGATCCTGAAATAAGTTGTTACAAAGTTCTGACTTGATTATCAGCGCGTGAAATTGATTTCAGTTTAATTTCGTTTTATTCATTGTGTTGGTTTTTCAGCTATTTTGCAATAGAAATTTGATATTCACAGATTATCCTTTTATTTGAACTGTACTTCTATTTTGTCTGCTGCTTTCCTCTTTGGTCAGAAATTAATCTTACAAATCATTAGTTTTATGTTACCTTTTTTATAGCAATTTATCCGCATTTTTAGTTACTGGCTCTAATCACTCTCTACAATTTCATAGCCCTTAAATGCTTATTATGTTAAGCGATGTTTGACACTTTGTAGCTATTTGGTATCGTTTTATTTCATTTTCTCATGTTTTGTTCACATTTCAGCCGTGTGACGTAGTTTTTGTCTGAAAACACACGGTTTCTGATAGTCACATGTTTATAATGATTATTTGGCTTCTCTTGAATAATATATAGTTGAATTTAGGTATTTACCTCCCAAATTAAACCGAATTGATTTATTTTAACTTCAAATAGGTTTTGACTTGAGAACTTGAATGAAGTGAAAGAATACCAAATCCCGCTTCAGTTGCATTCATTCCGATTCCTTCTTATTTATAGCTGGTAGATTTTTAGCATTTTTCTTTGTTGTTCAAGTGAAACCAGTGAAATTTTTGCAATTTTTGTAAATTTAAAAGTATGAAACAGTTGTTTGTTCCAAACTTCACTCGTTTTCTTCATAACGTCTCTTATCATTAAACAACAAGGGCTTTTTTACTTGTTGAAAAATATGATTGAGTTCAATTCAGATGTTTAACTTATAGAATGCTTTTTTAGAAGATGTTCATAGAGTGTCATCTATTGCTACCGTGCTTATCTGAAAACAAGGTCGCAATGTAGAATGTTTTTTGGTTCTTATTTAGTTCGAGTTGACAAATCATTACGGGATTTGAAATTTAATTCGGTAATTCATAGAAACGTGGTTTGACTTTTTGTTTAGAAGTATATTTTCCAGATAAATTTCATTTGTCATCTTGCTTCTTTTATATGTTATTGATTTGAATAGTGTTTGTGTTTTTATTTATTTTCGTAAAATGTTGCGTATAGTGCTTCGCATGATTATTGTATTGAATGAAACTGCCGGTGTTTTTTCAAGATAACATTTTTCATGCTAGAAAAAAAAATTTTATGGAATCATTGTAATGTAAGAATTTGGGGTATTATTTGTATGCAGTTCAACCAAGAAAAGAATGGTCCATAGCTTATTTATGATAAATCGAATTATTACATTAATCGTTTTTCTTATTTCTAAAACGGATTTTAACAACTTTCAGTTTCATAGTTTCTTTCTATATGTATTTGCTTGTTAGCGGAAAAATCTCTGACAGTTCCTAGAGGATGAATCAGGGAAGATTTTCCATGAGTTAACGATATACTGTTTTACAGACTAAAAGTGATTGTGAATTGTGCACATGTTCTTGAATTGTGCATATGTTTATTGTGAAGCCTTTTTAAAAATAATGGTTATTTACGACAAATGATTCTTTAATTTTGTGCGACTAATTCTTTCGCTTCAAGCATATGTTCGTTAACTCTTAAAGCTTATTAAAGAAATGTAGTTTAACTTTATGTTATTCAAAATCGTGAGTCGTCATATCGAAAATTTGATGCATATATCTTACATATCGTATATTACGGAATCTAAGAATCTTACACCTCGATAAAGTTTCAACTGGCATTGCGAAGTTTATAAGTTTAGACATTTCAAGTTCGAACTACAAAAATTATCATTTGCTCTCACACCATTGTCGAATTCAATCTAAAGTTGAAATATTTGTTCTTTAGATTCAGTTCTCAGATGCAATTAAGTTTAGATAAGAAATCTAAGCATCTTACATCTCGACAGAGTCAACAAGGTGTGGTTGGTTTTTTGACAGTGATTACCACTGCAAATGAATACTAGTAATATACCGTTAGAAGGTCGTACTCGCTTACCTGGTAAGATTCAGGACTGCATCCAGGACTGTGGTCTGATTGTTTCTCATATATTGGCTTCTTCTCGATCCAATGAGGTTAATATTCTAAGAAGTCATTGTAGGTATTTTTGTATTGTATTGTCATCTCTGAATAATATCTAATTTAAGATGAACGTTAGCAGTCCACAAAAGATGTGGTCATTAGAAATGCAGATGTTGCATATTTAAAGTGCCTTCTGAAACTTCTCACAACATTTGTTGCAACGTTCGACTGTTCTGAATATTCGTTTTATTAGTTTATCTCTATTTAAACGTTTTGCCTGAAGTTTTCACTACAGTCTTTATTTTTTCAGGCTTTAGGAGGAGCCATTAAGAATTTTGCTTCCATGGATTCAACAGTTGAGCACTCAGCAAAGGTAACAACCTACTTTTATATTTTACTTTATTTCTAGTTACTACTTTCAGAGTTTTTATTGCCAGTTTTAGGAATTAATAACTTTTGTTACACTATATGTAATTTCTTTTATGTTGCACAAAAAAGCTTTCATAAACTTTTTTGCCACTTTGCGAAGTACAATATTTTGAGGAAAATGATTGTGAGCGGAGAATTTTATTTGGTTTTCTGATCTCACATTTTACTTTTTTTGTCATTATTAGTTTTGCAGAATTTGCGAAAGTTAATTGCTTTATTACACACAATGAATGCACAGTAAGTTATTTTTTTCAATCTTTATTTTATTTTTTTGCTTAGCTGGGAATTTTTTTATGCGAACTGATCTATCAATCCTTACTGTTATTCTTTTTTTTATCATGTCAAATTTTTCATTTCCCATTAAGTAAGAAACAATTTAAGAAAAGTTTGAATACATGTTTTATTTAGTAAATTTCACTATTTTATATTTGTTGGTTCTATATGCGTATCGATAAACCTATCTGATCCTCTTTTTAGCTTTTAATTTTATTTCAGGTGCTTATCAGTAAGCAGCAAGTAAATGTCGTTTATGTTGACTCAAGCAATTGTATGAATTTATCTTTGAACCGATCGTGTAGTTTCTTAAGTATTGCATAACAGTTCATCGTTTCTTTCATTGGATGTCACTGTGTTGATTATTTCTGATCTTTTTCAAAGAGGAAATAATGAGTTGAAGGATATTTTTTAATTTTTCAAATCTATTTGGTTAGATTTTTTTAATCTAGAGTTAGAGGAAATTTAATCAAATATGTGTACTAGCTGTGACTTTTTAAATTCTTAAATTATATTTGTATATGACAAAAGTGTTATTTGCTGTGGTTAATATTCTAAAAATATTGTGCATAATGATTTTATTTGATGTTTCTTTTTGTTACATTGATGTTTTCGAGCTTTTTCAAAGAATTATTTTATATGTTCTCAAAGTTTTAAATAATAATGATGCTAGAATATTTGTCCATTTTTTCTGCTTTTTTTTATTTTAGCACATCTGGTGCATAATCTGCTACCAAAATTAAAGCCATACACTTATTTCCTAACTGTTTGAAATATTTTCGGTGCTTCATTACCATGCATTAGAGGTCTATTGTTATATACTTCAGACTTCTGCTTGAGATTTCAGATCATAATATGTAAATCTGTATTTGTCAGTGGTATAATATTCAAATTTGCACAAGCAAAATATGGACGACTTTTCAACATTGTCATATGCATCACTGATAACAAAAACTGGTGAAATTCTTTGCGTTATACAATATATATGTACATATTCATACAGTATGCAATATACAAAGTGCCGGAAGGTTAATATTTAAAGCATCAAACGGAAATTGTAAGAAATATTGGTTAAGGATTATACTTTATGTCATAAGTAAGCATCGCAGGTTCCTTTATACAATGAATTAGTTTAAGAAATTTTAACTTCCAACTAGTGAGGATACTAATAATTATTTGAGATATAAAATAACGAACTTTATACAACACATTGTATTCGTTAATTTATGAGGATGATTTAAATGGTATCTTTCTAACATTTACAATCAAACTGTTTTACTTTGTAATTATAGAGTTTGCTTTTCGATGAGCAGCTGAAACAACTTTTGTAACTGCAAGGAATTTTTTCCTCATTTTTGGACAGTACGCTTAAAAACTAACAGCAAGCAGATTTTGTAGAGGGGACTAGAATAGTGGTATTAAGTAGATCTAAATTTGGAATATCAAAAGCGACATCAATCTGTATCATCCAATTCTGCAATACTACTTCTGCAACTCAAACTATCATCCATATATGAGCAGTCGTTGCTACATCGTCTGCTTCCATCCAATTTGCATATTTCATCGTATAAGACCTGAGGCACTGTCCGTTTTGTGCTATCGATTTCCAACAAAGAATGGACTATTCCGACGATATCATCATCAATACCAACTGGTAATTCAGGCTTGTCATATGCATCATAATTATGGCAAGCTACGAAAAGAAATATTCGGCATAGTTCACGTTCATCAAATGGAACCTGTAATTGCATTCAGTGCTGGAATGTTTTGTAACTACCATTAAATGATTAGATAGCTTTTGAAAAATTTTGTGGCCACTAGTTTTACGAATTATTGTACAAAAAGTCATATTTTTCGTCATTCTTAATTGTCATGTATTGTTAGTGCTAGCTGTAATAATATGCAATGAACGGAATTACTTATTAACCAATACCTTGCCCATGATACATTGATAGAAAACACATCCCAAACTCCACATGTCTACTTCATGGCTATATTCAGAAGTTCGCAAAATATTAGCACCAACTTCCGGCGCCATATAATACAGAGTACCAGCAACATTTGATAGTGATGCTTGTTCTTCTTCACTTAAAATTCGAGAAATCCCAAAGTCCGAGATTTTCGCTGCATCAAACAAGTTTTCCTTATAGGCACTGTATTTTATCAAGATATTCTGTGGCTTAATATCGCGGTGCACAATAGAACATTTATATAATGCATGATATCCACGTACGATATTGTCTGTCAGCTTCCTTAATATAATACATTATCAGTGATTTGCTTTTAGCTTTTGGATGTTTGAGAGTTGTGGACTTTACAAATTATAATTCTCTGAAATTCTACAGATATTGTAATCAATTCTCCATTTTCAGGAAAATATTAGTAGAACTGGAATGTATTTAAATGAAATGGGAAAATTTACCTTAAATTATATGGTGATAATATACCATCAACAGTGTGATAATTTAAATGTCGATCTAAGTCAATGTCACATAATTCCATTATAATATACATACTGTCGTCTATGCTGTTCATACAGACATCAATGAGTCCAACAAGATATGAACTTTTAACTGTTTTCATCACTTTTAGTTCATTTGCTTTTACATATATTTTAGACATTTTTTTAATTGCTACTGGTTTGCTCGTACTGTTTTCAGTACCTCGGAAGACGCAACCAAATGAACCTCTTCCAAGAAATGATTCTGCACAGTCTCTGAAATAAAATTAGTCTTTGCATGCGCAAAAAAATATACCATTTCTTCACTTGAATGTTCTTTAAATAAACGCTTCTATTTTAATTAAAGATTTTAACTTTAGTAAAAATTTTAATTTTTACTAAAAGTGCAATTTTCACTAAAATTAAAGAAAATATTTTTTTAATATGATAATATTTCCCATTTTGTAGTAAAATAAGATCTAAGAAGGAAAAAAAATTAAAGGCATACTTATACTCAAAACTGCCACAATCAGACAATACAGTCATATTTGTGAAACACAACTGCTGAAACAAATGATAATCATCGCTGTTACTTTCTGCTAATTGGACATCATTCCAAGCTTCAGCACTTATCATCGCTTTTGATCAAATTGGTGTAAGTTTTTTATTTCAGTTATATATCGTTGAAAGTTATTGCTGTAAAAAGAAATCAAATCACAAATGTAATATTTGACGCATAAATTCTAAATGGAAATGCACAATCATTCACGCAATATACAAAGAATTTTAAACAAATAATTGAAGCTTTCAAACTAAAATTGGTAGATATATTGTGTGAGTGGGTGCAATATTTTGCTATTTTGCAGATGCAAAAAAAAAAAAATTTGATTCTATACAATAGTAAAAAGAAAATACCAATCAAAATATTTCCGAAAAATAGATATTTTGCAGTAGTTTCAAAATGATTAAACGAACTTTGATTTCTGAATGATTTATCAAGAAAAGTAGCTTAGTGAAGCACGTGTTATTGATAGTAGCACACGTTTACATTTGTTGTGATTTTTCATTAAGGTTAACAGTCTTTTAAAACTGTCTCAATTTGACCCCCACTGATCACACTTCATAATTATCGCATCAAATGAATTAAAGAGCAATGACAGGAATGATTTTGATGCCATGCTTTTTGGACTCAATTTATTAAACTATTATCGATTCAAAAAATTAACAGATGCCTTCTTAGCTTACAAAATGAATTCAATTGTTTTAAATTCCATAAATCAATTATGAAAAATGACGTCACTTTACGCTTTGAAATAAGAAACGATGAATAGAGTTGTGTTCAGTTAAAAATAATTGTTAGAGGGCCAACGATTAAAATCAACAAAGCAAACAATTTAAAAATTTTGAGCAGTCCTAATTTTGTATTCCAAATATGACGCAAGTAAATAATATCATGACATGTAAAAATTTCGGAAAAATGTTTTTCTTTGTTTTTTCTTAAATGGGAGAAAAATATTAAAATATAATAAAAGACATATTGTACTCACAAAATTTTTAAAAATACCATTCAATGATAAATACAAAGTGTTTCATTCTGCACATTATTTAGATATCTATAAATCAGAACTATGGCAGACGTAACGTTTATAATCTACAGAGATAATTAAAAAAAGCTGTAGCGAAAAAAAAGAGGAAAAGATTATGCCAACTTAATTTTATGTGTGTGATAATAAATTCCTCTAGTCGATAAATCCACATTGAGAATCAGAATAAGAGAATAAAAGTAGAGAGATTTATTCAATTTTAACTACATAACATCAAGCAAAAAAAGATTGTATAGGCATGTAAACACTATCTTAATTTCGAGTTCCATAACAATATTTGCTTTTCAATAGATTTTCTCATTAAATAATTAGTATGACTCTAATACATTATTGAAATATGAATTATATTACCGACTTAATTTTTTAACTGGAAACATTAACAAATAATTGATAGTAATGACTCAATGCATAATCAAAAATTAAAAAAACAAAAAAAAATCTTAGTCAACTTATATTGCTAAAATCAGCAAAAATCCTTTACAAGTAAAACTGCGTCTGAAGGGAAGAGGGAAAAGGGAAGAGTTGAGAGGAAATCATAAAACAGATGTGTTTAGCGATTGTACTGGGTGTGTCCTTCTTACTTTTTTCATCCAAATACTAGACAAATAATATAGCCGGTCAAGAGGTACAATGCATGTAAAATTGCAGTTATCTATTATATTTTAAGTTGCAATAACGCTGTTTAATTTTTCACAATTTTGTATCATTATGATCAGTGTACTTCAAAATATTTAATTTATTTGCTCTTTTATAAGAATTTCATTGTGATACGCTAAGTACTAATTATTGATCAAGTTATTCAAAAAGTTTATTAATGAAAAACAATATTAATGTTAAACTTTTACAGTAATTCAATCAAATTATTGCAACTTCTTTGAAACTTTTTAATAAAATAGACATTTGCTTTACATATCAAAGTTTTTACAGTTGCCTTCAAAATATTTGATTTTGAACAAGTTTTTGATTTTTACTCCACACAGTAATAAAAACCATAGAAGTCAGATAAACATCATTATCATATAAATGAGGAGAAAGGGAATAACGCTGAAGAAAGCTTAATCAATCAAAAAATGATTAGTTATTTAGTTCAAATTGTATGATTCAGATTAGAAAAAAAGTCCAAAGTAGTATTAAAGAGTTCAAAAACTTTCTTAAGAAGTGCTATCAATCCAAGTAATTTCATACTATATTTCAGATCACTTCTTTTATGTCTCAAAAATTATTAATATTTAATTAATTCAATCTTTAACAGAGATCAAAGACGAAAAAGTAATGATTCTTTACATAATAAAAAGATAAAGAAAGGTATATTATACAAAAATCCTGCTGATATAATAATGAGAATAAATCATCCTTTCGAGGAAGATTTCTGACAGAGTTATTAATAAAGAGAGCAAAAAAAGAAAAACATCGAGAGTGATGAATTTGGCGATTGCGATAGGTCTGTTCTCTCCCGCCTTTTCCATTCAGATCTTGTAGTACAGTTAGGATTAGTTTGCCTGCGATTTTCAATAATTGTTAGATAAATTTTTTGTTTTTTTTCTTCGTTCAGCTAAAAAAGTAAACCTCACGAACTGTAGAAATTTAATACTGAAATCTTGAAGTAGGCTAATATTTTTTTTTAATCTGAAAGACAAAATATTTATTGTTGTAAAGAGCAAACAATAATTAACATTTTCGAAAGACTTAAATATGCAAAATGAAAAAGCTTTTGCAATATCGAGCCTTAATTCTACCAACTTTTCTGTTTGATAATAACGTTCACTTAAATATGTCATACTCTCGTATAATAAAGCAAATAATATTACAAATAATCTCAGCTTTTATTTACTAATCATCCAAAGAAACTCATTTAGTTTTAAGGAAATGCTTTTGAAATATGCAAGTAATGTTTTCAGCTTGGTCATTTCATTCAGAAAGTATTATTTCTATATCACGAGAGTAAATATTATCAGGTCATGAATGATAACTAAGCAAGCCATATATAAAGCCATAGCCATATGTTATTGTAATTTCGTACTGCACTAGCGCAAAATAAAGAATTGAAAAACCTTAAAATTATGAAATTATGATTTGTCTGATTTGCGTGAATTATGATTTCCATATAATTAAACGTCGTTTGATATAGACTTGCATCAACCAAATACAGCTCAGATTGATTGAAACTTAAAAATAAAATTGAATAGTGTGAATTTGTACATAAATGATACGTACACTTTGATCAATAACTATTGAAAAGGAAAAGATGATTGAGTATTAATATACAATCTCTGGAAAAAATAAAAATGTTTAAAAAAATTTTAACTAATCAAATGGCCAATTAATCAACTGAATTAGTATTGCCAATGAACCATCAAAAATAGTGTACAATACTCAAACAATATTTTTAATGGGTTTTATTTTCTTTTTTCTTCTCGTCATCATCAGATAACTTGACCTTAGATCATAAATGAACTCTTTTAGGTCGAATTATCGAAAGCTGTGACTTATCACGAAAATTTGAATAACAATTTTTATTGTACATAAATTTTCCATCAAATTTTTTGTTTTCTGACGCGTTTTTTTCTTCTTAATCTATATTACACAGAAAAGTATGTTTATTCAAAAAACATATTATATTTAATATGCAATTTTTATAAGATTGCACCAACTGCCTCTGTCTTCTGAAAATTTCATCCTTTTTTATTCATGACGAAAAGTATCGGTTGTAAGTCAGATCAACCACCCGCAAGCTAAAAAATTTTGAATAATAGAAAATTGTATTAGTTTCGCTTGAAGCTTGTTACTTAGTTTAGGAATGCACTAAATTTTTTAAGTCTATTGAAGAAAAGGATTGTGAACACTGATACATATCTCAATCCGTGTTTTCACGTTCTATTCATGCAATTTATACTTCAACACGTTTCTTTTTTCTTATTAACTGATTGCAATTTTACTACTTTATACAAAATTTTGGTTCATAAGAAAGCCTTATTTTTTGCTGTCTTAAAATTTTTTCCTGCACAATCATATATTTTCAATTAATATTGATATATGCAACCTCTGGTTGAAAAGGAAAGTAGCGTTAAATATTTTTAAATCTATAAAGCATAATATATAAATTTTGGCTTCATTCAGAAAGTAATCAAAAAATAAAATTAAAAAAGTTGTAGAGAAGAAAAAATAGAAAACCAACATCAATATTTTATGAAAAGTTTCAAATCATTGCGAGAAAACTGTTTGATAAGATAGGAAGTAAATGATTGTGCTTGACAATTTCCCTTCCAAAAATTTTTCTACTATATAAACAAAAACTGCCAGTTTGAAAAAACTATTTTGAGGAAATAAAAAAATTATTTCTGTGGGTTTTACATTACATATGCTGGCAAAGCCAAGGTAACAATGGAATTTCTAGCAACTACACTGATGCTTATGCAAAGAGTTCAACGCATCTCATTTGTTCTCTTTCTTTTCAGTGATAAAAGAAGAATACATCAGTAATTTTTGAATTATAAGCCACTGTTTATTTTTGTCATCTATACTTTAAATTAAAAGTTGCAAATTATATTTTTCAAAAGGAGACAAAAATTGACACTTACATCATCATAACAGTGTTTTACTGCATTGTCACTGCTCGATTAGTCAACAATTTTCATTTAGGATTTAGTTTATAAACTTTCTAGTTTTTGCATATGCTTCGTCACACAAAAGTAAAATCATAAAAAAATCAAAGTTAGGCAGTAAATTGCTAATTTTACCTCTCTTTCTATCAGTACTGGTAGATCAAAATTTGAATTACAATTCAAAGTATAACTTCAAACGCTTAATATTAATCAAAAAAATTAATGAAATAATTGTTTTCGTAACTTTATTTGAAATCAGATCACAGATAAATAGTGTAAAAACAATAATGAGTTTCTTGTTTTCGATATGAATGAAATAGAAAAATTGTTTACATTTTAATAATTCTGCTTGATGTCATTAAGCTTCTGATTTTCTTAATTATGAAAAGATTTTATTTAGTAATAATCACTACACTGGTTAGTTCATTATTTTATTCATCATCTGAAATAAGAGATGCAAGAAAAAAAAATGAACGAAAAAGGAAATGAATGAAAAAGCAGTACATACCAAGAAGTAACACCCGTTCTGAGATGATAATTTTTATTAAAAATTCAAAGGTAAAGGCAAAAACTAGAAGACAAATTGTAAGAAGAAGAAATTCCCTAAAGGCAACAACTAAAGTTGCAGTGCATAGGAAAATTTTCAAAGTTTGTTTCCCTAAATGGTTTTCTGTTTTCTTTATAATCATTTATTATTTAATCAGATTACCTTTACAAAAATAACCATTTGTTTTTCTGGTCGCAATTAGTTAAATTATTTATAAACAAATGTAGTCAATTAAAATTATGCAACTGGTCTACGCAAAAATTATGCTTGTAATTTTCACTATTTTTGTTTTTTTTATTGTTACTTCAATGAAAAGAAAGTAATAAAATAATAAAAAGGACGTCATTTCCGGTCCAGTTATTATTTCAAATGTTATTCATATGAGGCCTACGCGTCTGTGTATCAATCACTTTTACTTCTAATTACTACCATATGATTGAGTTATTTTTTATTCATTTAGTATATTTAATCTTATTTTTAGACATGAAAGCAGTCAAGCAATAAAATATTAATCTCTTCAAAAAAGCAACTGATTTCGCAGTTTTTTAAGAATTAACAGAAAATTTTTATTTTTATTTTATATTATTTTGAAATATAATTAGTCATATAATTGGTCGTAAGCTCTGATAATTCAATAATCATTCTTGAGTATTCGTTAATGAAATGTCAGCATTTTTAAATATATTAGTTACGACTTTTTCTTATCATTTTATTTCTCTTTGAAAATCATAAAAAATGATCATTATTTGAAAAAAAGTAATAATAATTGTGTTACTAAGAGAAATAATCCTTTCCAAGATTGAAAAATATATGATTTATGAATAAATGGCTACATATTATGTAATGTGAATATTAATGTGAAATATACTTTGCTTAATGAATATTCATATGAAATCATAATTTGAACTGAATATAAAAATTTTGCTATTGAAAATCAAAGCAAAAAGTTAAAAAATTTGTTTGCTAGAGAAGCTGAATGATGACATCAATCATTCTATCTTCTTGAAAAAGTATCCTTTGTATGAATGTTTCAAGAACGTTTGCATACAACAAAAATAAAAGAAATGAATCACTATTTAAATAGGTCAACTCGTGTTTGTAAATTATATTCTTATTTTGTTTTATTTTTAAATACCAGTGATTTAAAATGAATCAAGCGATTAAGACTCATAAAATAAAGAAAAGCTAAACAAAAGTTATCAGCTTTATAAATCTCTTGGAAAGATCCATTCTTATTCTAAAATCAGTTTCAGAAACAAATTATCTTTTATCATTGTAATTCACGAGCACCAATCTCGAAATTGTTATTATTATCATATTATTGTCATCGTTCTTGTAATTCTTATTATTAATGTTTGTAAAGACACAGCATGAACCAGTCGATGACATTTCACACTGATACCCGGATACTAAACGAGATTTGATAAATATCATCATTTTTATTATCATCAAGATTAATAAAGAACAAAGGATGTAAAACATTTAATGGTGATATCATAATATCATTTAATCGCATTCATTGGAAATATAAATATTTTAATATCGTGTCATAATTTAATCATCAAATCAAAAATGTATAATGTTACAAACAGTATAATTGATATTATCAGACCACAAAGTAATTATAGATTCACTACGAAATCTTGTACATTTCTTGTAATTTTAATTCCACGTTGAAAAATTTACGTAGGATTCTTTTCAAATAGAAATTGAAAAAGTACTTGTGCTAGAAAACTTGTTTATTATATGTTTAAAAGAAGTCCTGAATTTTCATTATAGATATTTTTGTTTAAACTGCATTATAAACTAAAAATATGATTAATTGTTGACTATTGTGCACAATTTTTTTTTAACAAGATTACTTTAATGTATTTACTTTGATGATTATTTGATCAAAAATTAGTTTGCTTTATTTTTAATAATACTGTCTTGACTACTTTGCTAGTCAAAGAATTATACGCTGTGATTGTACAGAAAAGTAGTCAAGAAAGTATTATCAGAAATAAAATTTTTGTGTACTAAAATTCTTGTCTTCTTACTGACCCCAAAATATACTGAGGATAGTAATTCATGCAATATCTTATAAAATTAAAAAAAAAAACTTGCAGTATTGAGTTTTTGAGTAATACTTGCAATTTTTCACAACAGAAAGAAGTTATTAACAAAAAAAAATCACTACGAATTTGTTTTTCTATTGATGAATTCTTTAAATGCTGATAGGTTTTAAATTATATTTTCGCGTCAGGTACAATAATAGGAATTTTATTGCGTTAAGAAATGAGCTGAAAACCAAAAATACTTTTTCTTATCAAGAATTCCTCAATATTATGCACTGACTATGTATATTAATCATATAGCTTAATATCTATCTTTTACTGACCTCTAGATTACCGAAACTTCAAAATTGAAATAATGTGGATTTTCAAAATTTTTATTAGAATTAAATTTTTAAGCACTGCCTAATGACTGCTTGATGGAAGATGGTATATTTTGCAAGACTAAACCTTAAATTTTATTTCTGGTTGAAATATACATGTAATACAGAGTTTCGTTTTCATCTTTACTGACATGCAAGTGAATTACTTAAATATTTTGGTTTGATGTTTACAGTTCGAGTGAAATTATGAATAACAATTCTGCAATGCTTGATTTCTGAAATCAAACAGTTGTAAATAAATAAATTCGTGGTAGATGCTGAATTTTTCTGCTTGTTTATTCGTTTTTTCTTTATATAAAGTTGACAAAAATATAATATTACAGAAGTTTTCCATTTAAGCGTATAATTTTGTTTTGTGAGGTTATCATGAGTAATAACGTGTCATAGTGTTGTAAGGATAGACTGAAGAAACTTAGAAAATGGTGAAGTGGAAAGAGTGCGGCACAAATACTTTTGTACTGCAATAAAGTATATTATTTGAAATGTCACAGAAAATTAATATACAAAATTATGCAATGTTAGCAAGTGCGCTGATCCGTTATTAAAATTAGTTTATTGTTAGAAAATCAATTGAGTTTGTCAAATTTTACAAATGTATCTCTAATGTTTAAACTTTCTAAAAAAGTCGATAATCGCGGAAAAAGTATGATATTGTGCTCATGACTTGAATACTTTGTCAATAAACGAAGGTAGTTATTAATTATACTTGGCATTTTTTAGATCATTGAATTTTTAGATGATTTTTGGCATTCTTGATTCAAGAATTGAAATTATTCATCAGTATTTCATTATTGTAACAGAAATTCTTTTAAACTTCGCATTTTGTTGATAATAAATATTACAAGCCGAAAAACATTTTCACAACCCAAGCACAAACAACAATGATTTTAATCATTCGCGATATTAAGTGTTCTTGGTTTTCTAATTTTTAAACTTACATTTAAAACAATTGAAATGAAATTAAGCTCAGACAAAGCGCAATTTCCGATATCAAATTACTAATCGTCAGCATAAAAAATGATAACTACACGGCACTTCATCAAAGTAAAATCATAATAAACTGTCTTAGAGATGTCTTAGTGCTGAATAAATAAGTAAATAAATGAATAAAACAAATAAAATAAAAAATAAATAAATAAATGAATGAATGAATGAATAACTATTTTTGTTATTATTATTGCTTTTGATTAATATTTGCGTCACAATGTTCTGGGGAATTCAATTTTTTAAGTTAATAATATGTACAAAAAATGAAAAAATGATTGCAATAAATGCTTTAGCAAATACCCATCAACGTAAATAGATAAATATTAAAACTTTCAACAAAGTTTTGCAAAAATTACATGTAAAATCTTGATATGAAACAGTAATAGTAACAACTACATAAGTAAAAGAATAAAAGTGTCGTTTTTATCACAATGATAATATTTTATAAAATTTTCTTCTTGCTTTCATTAAAAAGGAAACAATGATGGAAAATGAAAATGATAAAACTACTAGACGAAAAGAACAAAATCACACAAATATTACTTAGATATGGTAAATATTTTTATGATATCTTTATTTTGATAAAATTTTGAATAGTGAAGTTTATTGTAAGAAATTTAAATTGATTTATGATTTTATGAAGAAACTGCAGTTGAAACAGGTGTCATCGAACTGATAGCCACACTCCTGAAGATTTTATTTCCTGATTGTATTGCTGATGGAGGTGAGTCCTGTGGTGGTGAACATTCTGCAATGGGATTGGCTATATGCCCTGAAATAATTTTTGTGAAATTTTGTCCATAAGTTAATTACACACTTTGTCTTTTTGAATACCTTTTAAATAATGATAGCAAATCAAATTAAATTACATAACATAATCAAACAAAATATACATACATCGCATAACTTGTTTATTGAATGATAAACATATTCAAGTCAATAAATGCAATAAAATCATAAAAATAATATTACATAATTATTTGATTCTTGATTTAAATTAAAATTGTATCCATTTTTTGATTTTATACTATATCATTCATTTTTTTACATGATTTATCCATGTTATTCTCTTATATCACTCCTTCGCAAATACTTCAAATACAATATGCAACGCATAAAATATTTTCTGATGTCATAAAATTTTCACTTCTGAAGGTAATTTATAAAGCATCCCACTGTATGATTAGATAATCAAATGAAAATACTGCATGCCTTTACCAGAATTTTTAGCTTCAAAGGCATTTCCTGCAGTAGCTTTTTTATGTTTCGTTCGCATCAAATTTCTTTCTTTAACTTTGTACTCCAATGTTGAATGAGGTACCCCGTAAAAACTACCAGCGCGATGAACAGACATCTCACCACGACGTACAGATCGGACTGCTTCATCTAACGCATCTTTTTTGTATTTTCTAGAAAATTTGACTACAATGAAAGCAAAACATTTTCAAGCTAATCATAAGTGCAATTTCTGCAAAATTCATAGAGTACCTATATTGGCCACGCTTGGGACGTGATCTTTTCCAGTCAGATTGGCTTCCCGTACTATGGACTGGACTACCAATAACTTTTTTATCCTCATGTTGAATACTTTTTGGATCAGAAATTGACTGAATCGCAAACGGTGACCACAGCGATTTTTTGTTCTCCATTGTTTGTTGGTCGTTCACTGCAGTTTAAGTTTTTAATTTATAATGGTGCGATAAACCGATAAATTTCTGAGCCAAAATTAATTAATACCGATGATTGGTTCTTGCTTGGTATAGTGAGGTCGATTACTTGAACCAATTTCATGGACAAAATTTGACATTGATGTATTATCCATCAATATAAGCTCTTTTCTTGATGGTATAGTAATTCTGCAATAAATAAAAAGCCATTTGTCAATTAGAGTTTCTTTGTTTTAAGAATAAACTTCGTCAATATGATAATATTAAATTTGCTCAAAATAGTATATTATTGTCTGCATTGAAAAAATACTGAAAGTAAAAGCTTATTTCCATTTTCTTACTCCGTAGGATCATCATTAATATTATTTGAAGGTGAAACAGCGGTTATAGGAAAAATCCGTAAGTTGTTTGGCGTTAAGGTTATTCCAGGACTGATACTATTAACACGTTTCTTCTTTCTACATGTGCCGTCTGCATGCTGATCTTCAGCTGCTTCAAGTTTGTAAATTTTATTACGTAGCGTTGATCTACAATGAGAATACTCCGTAAAATTAAAGAAATAAAAAATTTGCCCTTTTGTTAATTATAAAAGTACCAGACAACTTAAATGTTTCAGATTTTTCATTAAATGAATTTCCTACAATTTCAGTAATAATTTATGAGGAATAAAACAAAATCATCGACCTTGGAATACCGTAAACAACACTAGCTCGTCGCGTTCCAAGACGCCCGTATCGGATGTCTCGAACTGCAGCATCTAAATCAGCTTGACTATAGCTTCTTTTGCTGATTGTTGAATTTATCATAGTGACTTCAACAGCATTTCTTGCATTATCCGCCATCGAATCAGTTTCTTCGTCTCTGTATAATTATCATGATAACTTGTTACTCGCATACGGTATTATATTGACAAAGAAAAATTATATACAAATTTGAAATATTCAGTAATCAATCAAAACTATCCAGTTATGACAAAAACTGATGAATCGTTGAAAAATATCGTCTAATTTTAAATTATTCATTGAATAATTTGATTATTAATTAAATAGTTTGATTCTGAAAAAAATTCTCACATTTTCGAAGAGCAGCAAAAAAATTTGCATGTATGAAGAAAGTCTTTAAGCTTTGATAATTTTTGATAATTAAATAAATTAATGATATATCTACAACAAAAAATTTTTTTTCGGGACAAATTCTTGAAATTTTTGCAAACATCGATAAAGTATTCGATGAATTATTGGTAATTGCTGGAAGTGATCGTTTATCATCCTGATAATTTTGAATGGATGATGACATAACACATTGGTTTGCCACTTGAAGCGCACAACGTGAACTTAGGTCCAAGGGTTGATCATCTTGCATTGTACCGTTATCGCTGTTTTCTTCCTTAAAGGTTAACCGTTCGGATAAGGACTCGCAGTTCATAAATGATGATGATTTTTCTATTCCTGCAAAATTTTTTGTAGAACTTCTGTCCTGCAATGTATTTTGTGTGTTATTATCCTAAATGCGATCAATTAATTACTGGATTCTTACTGGAGGCATAAGTAAAATATTAAAAGATATGTTTTATTTTTGAATAGTGCATTTTGTTTCATGTAGAAAGGAAATAAACTTGTTGATTTAAAATTAATTTAGTTGACAGAGTTTATAATTATTTTTTTACTCAGTCTTTTGAATTACAAATATTCTTCATGACTTGCTTTCTACTCACAACAATACTGACTTTTAATTGGAACGCATGGATCAACTTAATTAGCAGTTAAAATAATTTAAATGACTGATCCGGTGAAACATCCATAGTTCGTAGATTTGATCACCAAAATTTGACTTTGATAAATTTGAAAAATAAAATAATGAGGATATAAATTTTTTGGATAACCTAAGTATATATTAGAAAGATCATTCTTACTAGTAACATGAGCAACTCGTTTGCCTTCATTTGATGTATCTGATACCAAAGGCCGTAAAAAGTGATTTGTTTCCGATTCACTGTTTTCCTTACCGTGTTTTAGACTATTTGCTTTTAAAGCCTGATGATATTGTTCATTGACTGGACTGCGCAAATTTTCTAAAAAAACCATTTTTTGACCAAAATAATTGATTTCAAATTCATTTAGAATATCTTCGTTGTAAAATTATTATTACGGTAACGAGTGTAGAATTTTTGCGTACTTACTAATTAGTTTTTTAGTTCAGAAATTAAAATAAAACAATGTATACTTTTGCAAAGTACATAATTGGTGTTATGAGAGGACAAATTAAAAAATATCACTTGTCGTGAAGTAAACAAAATTACCAGTTATTACTCACTAATCAGTATATTACTGAGAGCTGTGTTTTTAATTCAGAACAATGAATATTCCTTTATTCCAACAAATGGACTTTTGCAGTAAGGAAAATGAAAACTAAAGAAACTTTGGACTTTCATTTATTGCACTTTAATTTACTAGAGACTTACTATTTAATAATTTTATACATATCGCTAAATCTTAGTTTCATATACTCGTAGACGACTTTAAAAGCTTATCAAATTCGTAATTAAAATTATATATTGCTTGGGTGTAATCGTCATAAACTTGTTCTATGCATAAAACAAATGGAAACACACCTGCTAAGTGTTGTGAATTAATTTGTTGCAATAACAAGCCAGATGCACTCCAATGTAGAAGACTTTGGCAATATAACTGGTTAGCTATTTCAGCTAAAGTTATATACTTTTAATAAAGAACAAAATGGCCCAAGATTTGAGATAAAATTGTTTGATTTTTATGGAATACTGAAAGCAATTTATATAATAATGACTTCAGCTTTCATTTCTATAATATTTAATATATTGTAGACTGACACAGCAAGAATATTCTTTCGGTCCTTTTTTTAGCATATTTTTACGGAAATTTTATTTTAAGTAAATTACATAACTTATTAAAAATACAATTCTTTTGCAGTTACGTTTCTCTTACTGCAAATTATGAGAAGGGAATCTAAATTTTATTTCTCTTGATTTGTTGTTTTCTGACAAAGATACGAACAAGAAGCTTTTAGCACTTTTTTTAACGCGAAAAACAGCAATGTCAGCATTTATAAGATATGAAATGTGCATGAAAGAATGCTTTCAAAATAAAAAAATCTTAGAAAAGGTAGTTTGGTAGTTTGATAAAACAATTTCATCTTTATCTTGAACCTTTATCAGCTCTTTTGAGCATGCATCTTCCTATCTTCTCAATAATTCTTGTATACATACCTATTACTGCAAGCGCTCAATAACAATTTACTAAATATTTATTTGTTAGACTCTCATATCTTGAAAAAAATGAGTTATCAAGAAGAAATCATAGCGATAAAAAAAGCTTTAGCGTATATTACTCTTGAATTTCTCTTGACATAACTTTTTCTGTATTGAAAAATATCTAGTTAAATATCTGTTCAAATGATGAATTTTCGCACTCTTTAAGTAAGGTGTAGTATTTTTTTATATCATTTCAAATATTATTCTGTTGTGAAAAAAATAAAATTTTTTGCTTTAGCAGGGCTTAATTATTTTTATAAAAACAATTTGTTATCTATGTCTTCAAAAAAAAGTGCCAAATCATTACTTCGTTACAAAATATTAAGAATTTAACACTTACGAATAGGCACAAATGGCGTCACGATCGGAAAAACAGTTGGTGTGTATAAATTGGGAAATGGATGTATGTAAGGTAAACAGGATTGTGGTACACTTGATGATTCTAAATGTGTCGTATTTTCCACGAAACCATTCGTTCTATCTTGTTCAATCCTTGCTTGACTAGAGCAGTCATGGTCAATACCGTTTACTGTACTTTCATTTTCCGTTTCCATTCTTATCGAATCCTACACGAAAATTCATAATGCAGAGCAAAAAAGTAGTGCAAAAATATTGCTTATCATTGGCTCTTTACAATCTTTAATGAAAGTTTCTGGCATTAAAAAGACAAACAATATGATGATGAATCAAGAAAGAATGGTTTGATGAACGGAAATAACACATGAAATTGCTTTCTAGCCAAAAATTGGCTTAATTAATTAATTATAAATATTCTTATAATATTTGTTGTAATTAGTTGCTTTTTCTAATAAACTCACATTTAACCTATTTTAAAGAGTTGCTTAAAAAAATGAAATCTTATATAAATGAATCATTCTTTTATTTATTTTTTTATTGTTCTTATTTTATTATTTTTTTACAAAACAGTCCATCTTTGATTTCTAGAATTTACATTTCTTTAGAAATCATTTGTTTTCAGTAATTTTTGTTTGTTTTTATCACATACGCATTTTAAGAAGCATTGAAAATATTTGTAATTCATCACAAATTACTTACTTCTTCAAGAGAATCAAACGTGGATACACGTAAACCATCGCAAAATGGACATTTTTCACTGGGTGACCAATCTTGTGCAGTTGTATTGCAATCGTGTTCTGTAAAATAAAGCAGCAACTAAATTCAGCAATATGCATTTCAAAATATCATGTTGTTTATTTTGATTTGATTGCTTTTTTACTTCAAAAGGCATAGGAAATATTATTTTTTTTATTCTATCTGTTTTTAAATATTATTTCTATGCATTAGGCGACAAAATAATTTAGTTTATGGCGAAATTTCGAGAAGCATAATTTTATTATATTTAGTGAAATTGAATTTTGTACTCTTTTTTCAACTTTAAAAGAAATTGGTAAAAAAATTGAGGTGATATTTGAAGATGCGGAAAATATTTACCAGTAAGTAAGAAAGGCGGAGGAAAAGGAAGGATTGTTACATGAAAAGTAGCTATGATTTCTCCAATATGTGCCTATCTATGTATGTATGCGTGTTCGTTTATGTATGTGTGTGCATGTCTATGAGCTTGTATTCTTGAGAAATAAAATTGACGCCAAAGCATATTTTCTGCCACGTTACTAAAAATCTCGAAAACCGATCTTAGCAACAAAAAATTTTTTAAAAAAAATTTTTCAAATGTTGTATTTTTCTTTTTGCTAAAAGAAAGGTGACTGAATAGATAGAGAAAAAAGCATTTTTTCATATTAACAGTCAAAACCATTTTAGTTCTATTATGGGAAAAATTTCACCACAATTGACAATTTCACTATTTTACGATTACAAAAAGTTCTCAAAATTTTTTGGTGAAACTGTAACAAAACATTTTGAGTAATATCGTTGGATTCTTGTGAACGACTAATGTTTCATAATTTTTTATCAAGTGGCTGATTTTTTATTCGTTTTTTTGCTTGGCAGAATAGAGTAGTTTAAATGCAATATATTCAAACTTTATTTCGCTTGTCTTGGCGCAAACAAAAAGGAAACAAATAGAAGTAATTAGCTTTGTGAAAGCTTCTTTTAAATAATGATTTAATGAAATAATTTGTGAAACTTTAAAAAATATCATATGATGTAGCAAATCTATTATTCTATATCCACAAATTTTTCTGCAAGTAAAAAAAATAGTTATAATGTTTTTTAGTGTATATTAATTGTGGCAAAAACGATACCTGCCGTGAAAGCAGTTGATATAATATCGACAATAGATTGACATTCGGAATTTCTTGATGAATAACGCGTACTTACTTGTTCAAAACCTGCAACTTTGCGTATTGTCTCAGCAATGAACTAAAAAACATTTATTTTAAAAGGTATATCAATAATACTTGAGATAATCCTGAGAATTATATCTTTCAAAGAATTATATCTTATGAGGTTGCTTCAAAAAATTGATCAATTTCAACTGTATTAGGCCCTTTCAATCTACAATCAAGATTAGTTCCTCAAATGATTTTTTGCGTTGCTTCCTAATCAGTTAAATCTAGTCTAATGTTTCCATAGCACCAGTTAGGTTGCTCCAAGTTCCCTAATGAATTATAGTTTTCAATGAAAAGCCTAATGAATGCAAAGAAAAGCTAAACCTGTCTCTTGTTCAAAAATAACTAATTGAAATTTCAGCACGGAGTTATATTTATTTTGTTAGTAACTTTTTTTGAACAGCATCTAATTTTGTAACATTTCTCGACGTAATTTCATTTAACAGTAAAATGGAGAGAAATTTTAGGAAATTGGCTCATCAGCATTTGAATATTGAACAAATCAATAACTATAAACGTAAGCAAAAGTAATAATAATTATTCAATAATTACCATTATAGAACCATTGTTATGAGTTAATTTTAAGCGTATAACTTTCCAAATTTGTATTAATATTGTTATTTTTACAGTAAGTTATTTTGATTGATGAACTGCTCTTAATATCTATTATGGTTTAACTGAGGATTTAGGAAAGTGTTGCTAAGAGTTACCGTAGAAACATAGAAATTTAGGGATTTTCTTCTTTCCCACCCAAAACTTTCATTTTTCTCTCTCTCCCTCTCTTTCATTCTTTCTTTTTCATTTTCTGTTTCTCTCTGCCCCACTATGCAACTTTATCTTTTGGGACCATAGTCAACTAAGTAGCCAATGTCCACATCATGAAACACATCGTTTTGGCCAAAATTTTTTATTAATTATTTTCAGAAATTACAGTTCTTTTGAAATTCTTTGAAGAAAATTTTTAGCACCAGACTGATTTTTAGGAAATCTATCCTTAACCATTGAAAAAAAGCCTTAAATCCGAAATAACGGCTTGAAGTCTGTTGTAATTTAATTTTGTAGCTTAAAAAATGCAAAGGAATGAAGTAATAATAATACAGCAATCTAATATTAATTGAACACTTCTAATTTTGCAATTAAAATAGAACATCGAAAAAACTATGCCTTAGCATTTGAAAGCTTCTCAATGATTTTTACAAATACTTATCAATAGGCAGAAAAAAGATTTACTACATATTATCGTGTTGAAGTTTGCATCGTTTCTTTGTCTCTCGATAAAAATGTTTGCTACCAGATTATCCACCGATAATTTGAAGTATTTACATTTATATAATTTTTCATTTTTAAAATGGTTAATTTTTTTTCAATGGCATGAAAAATGCAAAAAAGTTTCCACTGTTTTGTAAATCAAATGAATTATTTTTATCGCTTAAAAAATTTTTCAACAGCCAATTGCAATAATTTTGTTTTTATAGTTGCTTGCAAGTAAAATTTTTATTAGTTAGAAGGTCAAGCAAAAAAAAAAAATTCGAACATAATTTTTTAAAGTGTTGTTCTTTGAATGATGCGCTACAAATTACTAAAATTTATAAATTAATTTTGTAAATAAGAAGTTTTAAGTTTAACTCAAAAATTAATAGGAAATATTCTAAGTGTCACTACTTTTTGTTACGTAGTTATGATTATGAAGAACTCCACTTTTAGTTTAATTTCACTGTTTTTTTTTTCTCACGTCATCAGCAATGAATTATTATTAATTCAGCAAATTTAGCAAATAATTCTTTGATTTAAGCTAAATTTCACATAAAAGGTTTAATAAAAATAAATAAAACTGATCATTAAAAAAATTTGCTTAGAAACTAGTCTAATTTCTAAATCTAAAATTTTGTAGAATTTTTTAGTAGCTATGTTTTTATTAGCATGAATGAAGTTTATATAAAATGGATGCTACACCAAGTTTGTCAGTTTTTAAGAAAGCAAGAAGTGTCATTAATTAGAGATATTTCAGTTTCAAAAATTTATTACTTTTGGCTCGAAATTTTTTAATATGTAAGAAAAAGGCATTAGATGGAATTTTTGTTAAAAAAAGTTCAATATCTGTAAAATAGATAGTTTTTCTGACACAAATTTCTAACGTTACAGGACTTCTTATCAAGAAGATGATATTTCTATGAAGTTTATCTTCTTCAAGACAAAATTCTACGGAGAAACGTAAACTTTTTTGGTGTGATAAACTCGAGTTTGCTATGTATGCATCTATATGTATATAAATACATGCATGTATGCTCCAATCATTGGTTACCTTTAAAAAAACTTATTTTATTCTAGCAGTCATAAGCTAGGCAAATAAAAATGAGTTTAAGTCTAACAATGAAATGATTTGGCGTATTTGATGTAACAGTAAGAAATCATTGCTGAGATTGGGCAAATGAACATAACTTTTAAACAATTTTTCGTTGCCATGACGATTATGAGTTTCTTTACCCTCCTTATCAAACTTCTTCCTTAACTTATGAAAATTTTAGTGTAATGACCTTTCTTTACATTATTTACCCAAATAAACACTGGTTGTAAGTTACTGTGACTACTAAACTGATTACTGTTTTTCGGTTTAAAATAATAATGGTATAATGACCAAAAAGCTTTATAAATGGCAGAATTATCCGATTTTTTGCTGAAAAATTAGAAAATAATTACAAATTTGAAGGATTTGGAATTTTCAAATGTTAATAACATCAAAAGTTATCTATTAGGCCTAATTAATTAATAGAAATTGTTTCTCCATTAGCAGCGAACTTTATTAGCCTTGCTGAATTAATGGTTATCATCCAATCATATATTTAGTAATACAAAGAATTTCTACCAATTTCAGTTTCAAAACAATAAATAATGCAATTTTTTCCTGACTAGTAAATGCAGTTAGGCGATTTCTAATTGGAACTCTGTATAAAAGAGAAAGACAAATTCAACTAAAACTTTATTTATTAATTATGTATGAGTAATTTTTGAAGCCGTGCTTGCCATCGATAAAGTGGTTTTTCTAAAGCATGTCATAAATGATTTTGAAAATAATTTAAAAGTCTCTTTATTTCAAAATATTTAACATCTTTATTGAAATAAGTCAAGCGTTAAATCATATTTAGGGCTAAAAATTAATGCGTTGACCTTTGAATAATCATTAGAGGGTACTAAGTTGAAGTTTTCAGTAATATGAATAAGTAACTTCATTGATATTGAAATAAAACGTTACCACAGTATAATTTTTTCATAGCATTCAGTAATTTTTCTTAAAAATTATAAAATATTTTTTAAACAATCGTACTTGAGTTTTAGGAAAAAAAGCACTCTATAAGAATGAGAAAACAACGAAAAGCCAAAACAGCCAATTACACAATCCTTTATTTCAAGTCCATGATTTTCAAGCGCAATAAATTGAATTTTGTGGATGCTATCGAATGCATGCTTAATCGTTTGAAAACAAGGCACATTTTTTTATTTCAATAAAGTAAATAATCAAGAAGTCTGTGAAATAGTCTATTAATTTCAGCTTATTGAACTGAACAAAGTATAAATTGTTAGTTGGGAAGTTGTAGTCGACCGAAAAGCAATTTGAAGCATCATTAAAATGCAACATTTGACCAATAAAGCTACAGGATTGACACATTTTGCTTCATCTTTTTCATCATCCCTTAATTGATTTTAACGTTTGGATTAATGGCTGCAGGATCTTATTTTCGTATTTTCGGGATATCCATAGTTGAGGATCCCAAATTAGCATAAAAGTGCTTTTTATAAATGAAGTAAGTGATTGAAGATGTAGAGAATATTAGCACATATTCCTTACACTCTTGATCATTTTATTTCATCTCAAAACTATCACGATTACCAATAATTTAAAAGAATTAATGTTTATATTTTTAATACCAGAGTGGTTTCCAAATTACCATATTTTTTTAAGTTCATATTTAAAAATTTTTGAAATATATAGATTCGGAATAGAAAAAAATTCTCGTTTGAGTTTTTTTTTCCTACGCATGTTAATAATACGAATAAATATTAATTGTGCATTTTTTCCTAAACTAACTGTACTTTTTTTGATTGCTGTAAATTTTAGTAATTATAAATTTTATACAACGTTTCTAATTTCGCTAACGAAATCAAGCTAAAACTATGTACTAATTAACAATTTCAATCATTTTCTACGTTTTTTCATTAAAAAGCAATCAAAAGACTGAATAAACTTCAATTTTTTCAGGGTTTTTTAATATTACTTTCAGTTGAATGCTAAAAACTTTTTAAAGCTATTATAGCCAATATTTTGATGATCGGATCGGACATGCTATCCCTAACATGCACCTTCTAACAGCAGCAGTCTTGCTTTTTTAATTAATTTGAGTTGCTGGATTTTGGCTATGAATAGTTTAGCAAAGCAGAGTTTAGAGTAAAGGATCAAGTAGCAAGCCCCTGAAGGCATTATTAAAATTTACTAGAGAAAGAGTTCAGTGAATTTAGAAATCGAATCAGATCCATTTTGATTTATTGATCTACTCTTTGGTGACCAATGACATGATAGTAAGCTAAAGATAAATGTTGGACTAGTAACAGTTATTTATTAAAATACCTATTTGTGTCTGACATTTATTATTGAAAGTGTGAATACCAAAGTAGATGCAGAAATTTCGATTGATAACACAAGAAATACTTATTAAGCAGATCACAAGGAATAATCTGTAATTCAATCTGATTCATGTGCATGAAACTGCATTTCTCTTCTAACTCTCTTTTTCAGCTCAAAAAATTTGTTATCAGTCTATGCTTACTATATTACTCAATAGTACTTTCTCAAAAAGTAAGAGAGGATCTTTCTATTCAATCCTTACTTTTCTTTTCTTTTCGTTTCTTTTGGGTGGCATCAAGGCGTTGTTTCATTACTATTTTCAATTTTTGAAAAAGAAAAAGAATGAGTAATTGGTCGATTTGCTTAAATTATTTGCAAATTAACTAGATAAAGGAGGCAAAGAGAACGAAAATTGAAGAATGGATTGTTTTATTTTCATCTAGACATGGCAACACAAGAAAACCGAAATAACTTTTTTCTCGTTTAGGCCAAAAACTGCCATTGCAATTATAAATTTTGGCTATGATGAGGTAGTGAAAATATGCAAGGATTCTGAAGTTTTGTGCTTTATTTATCTCAGCAATGATTTAATGAACAAGAAGGCTTGTCCTATTTTGGTAAGTTTAGCTATGAAACTAGATGGTGATGCTATTTGCAAGAAAGCATTTGGCTTCTCGATCCTAACATCTCCAATTAATTATTCTTCAATAGTTGATGCTCCGATGGGAACAGAGTAAAACCTTAAAAGCTCAGATGGGAAGAAGACGAGAAATTTGCTTTGCTCTCATTTTCTGGGCCTGAAATGGAACTCTTTTCAACAACTACTACCTCTCACTCAGTCAGCACCACCACTAATTAATAATTCTCCCCTTTGCCCCTTCTTTTCCTTTTGGCTAACCATCCATCCGTTTGCATTGAAAATGAACCGAGTCCACTACTATTACTACTATTGCTATTACTAATAATACCACTATTATTATTATTGTTATTATTATTATCATTATTATTACTACTATTACCACTACGTTTATTACGGCCGAAGCAACTATCCATAACATGAATTAAATCCTCCTAAATTTCTCCAATTTTATCCCTTTATCCTAACATAAAGAGCTGAACACTCCACGTCAACTTCAAAATTTCAATTACTGCAATTTGCAATTGATACAA